TCAAGCTTTTTGCGCGACAAATTGATAATTATGGTATAGAGTGTTCATAGTTTTCTATGGTATAAAGTTTATTTGGTACTGAAGTCATAGATCAGCTGTTTCATGCTTTTTAGCTCTATGGATAAGTTGCAAGTTTTTCGAAGGCGCTTATCATTGTTAATATTATTAAAATATTTACCGGCATTTTATATGTTCAAACTTTTAGTTTGTTGTGTACAAGAATTACTAGCGCGCCGATATGTAACGCGACGATATCCAATGCGCCGAAATTCAAAGCATTGATATCCAACGCGTCGATATCCCACGCGCCGATATCCAACGCGTAGTAATACAAAGCGCTGACATCCAACGCATTAATTTCTAACGCACCGAAATCCAACGCGGTGAAATCCAACGCGTCAATATCCAACGCGTCGATATCCAACGCGTCGCTATCCAACGCGCTGAAATTCAACGCACCGATATCCAACGCGTCGATAATCAATGCGTCGATATCCAACGCGTCGAAATCCAACGCACTGATATCCAACGCGCCGATATCCAACGCGCCGATATCCAACGCGTCGATATCCAACGCGTCGATATCCAACGCGTCGATATCCAACGCGTCGATATCCAACGCGTCGATATCCAACGCGTCGATATCCAACGCGTCGATATCCAACGCGTCGATATCCAACGCGTCGATATCCAACGCGTCGATATCCAACGCGTCGATATCCAACGCGTCGATATCCAACGCGTCGATATCCAACGCGTCGATATCCAACGCGTCGATATCCAACGCGTCGATATCCAACGCGTCGATATCCAACGCGTCGATATCCAACGCGTCGATATCCAACGCGTCGATATCCAACGCGTCGATATCCAACGCGTCGATATCCAACGCGTCGATATCCAACGCGTCGATATCCAACGCGTCGATATCCAACGCGTCGATATCCAACGCGTCGATATCCAACGCGTCGATATCCAACGCGTCGATATCCAACGCATGGAAATCCAACGCGCCAATATCCAACGCGTCGATATACAACGCGTCGATATCCAACGCGTCGATATCCAACGCATGGAAATCCAACGCGTAGAAATCCAACGCGCCAATATCCAACGCGTCGATATCCAACGCGCTGAAATTCAACGCACCGATATCCAACGCGTCGATAATCAGTGCGTCGATATCCAACGCACCGATATCCAACGCGTCGATATCCAACGCATGGAAATCCAACGCATAGAAATCCAACGCGCCAATATCAAATGCGTCGATATCCAACGCGTCGATATCCAATGCTCCAATATCTAACGCGCGGGTATCTAACGCGCCGATATCCAACGCGCCGATATCCAACGCGCCAATATCTAACGCGCCAAAATCCAACGCAGCGCTATCTAACACATTAATATCAACGTATCGCAATATAATGCACCGATATTATACGTTATTTGTTAAATGATAGTTGTAAAATGAGTAAGAATGTATTTGATGTCATATCTCGTTATTTCGTGTTCAGCTAAGGTTGTCATAGTAATCACGAGCATAACGCCACATCCCGTAAAACAGAAAATTCTTCGTGGGAACCCAATTTCACCGTGGAAATTACTCGTAAGTCGATTTCGCGTTGGAACGATTTAAATCTTGAGGTAACCGCGGGGTGGTTGGCTCGGTTCGACTCGTGTTTCTCCTTTTTTCTTCTCGCCCTCCCGCGAAACGGAGGGAGATGAGATGCGCAAGGTCAGACTTGAAGGGTGGGAGAAGGGTTGCTAGGTTGACAACCCTGCCAGCAGGGTTGGAACTCCGCCCATTGGTGGAAACCGCGGAAAAAAGAGAGGAGTGAACCCTACAGGGTTTATAATGGCGAAAAAAGAAGTCAGAGGTCGAGAGAGGAGAACGATTTAGAAATAAATGGAGAAATAGAGTGCGAGAGAGAGACCAAGTTGAATCGAGTAATAAAGGGCAATCTCGTTCGCGAATGTTAATTAACAACGAATCGAGTAGACTCGTTGGAGTATACGCTTTGATGACCATTGACAAACAATCATAAAACCATAAAGACGATCATTAAATTTAATATCGTCGATTGTCAGGATTTTTCAAGTATAAATTTCGAGAATTATACAAAAATTGTAGTAGATGATTACCTAATAGTTGAGTCGCAAGTCCATGTGATTCATGTATTACTTTTTTTAATTTGTATAATTTCTTTTTAATACATTATGTACAATGTATTGATGATTATTTCTGTTATCTTTTATTTGATTCCTGTTTCTGTTGTTTCAATTCTAACTCGATTATAATTTAATAATTAACAACAGTAAAACAAAAATATTGAATACCATAATTATATCAATTACGAGATAAATTCGAAGGTTTCAAAATTAACTTAATTACAGTTTAATATGTCTTCAAATATCTAATTTCACCAGGATAGACAACGTGTTAATAGGTAATTAAAGTTTCAACTTGTCTGACTACATATGTTCACTTTCACTGTGACAGTCGCGTTAAACGGTATGGCTGAATTTTGAGCATCTTCTACTTAACCTCTCGTTTACTCAATCATCACCCCTATATCTTTCTTTAATATCTCTATACATAGTAGGTTCCTGTTATATTGCCACCGACGGATAGGAACGGTAAAATCTTGATGATATATATTGAGTTGTGTGAAAAGATTTGAAACGTGTGATGGTATAATGCGATGATATAGTACAATATGTTGATGTCCAACGCGTGGTAATATAGTAGGTTGATATTCAATGTGTGGTGGTATATGTTGATATTCAACACGTGGTGATATTAAGACGAGGATCAATGCATTGTGATACTATTTGTTGGTGTATAACGCGTAGTGATACAATTGGTTAATATCCAACGCGTTTATATCTAACGTACCGATATTCAATGCGTCGATATCCAGCACGTTGATATTCAACGCGTCGATTGTCTTTGCACCGAAATCCAATGCATCGATATCTAACGCGTCGGTAGCCTCTGCGCCGAAATTCACTGCATCGATATCCAACGCGACAATATCCAATGCGTTGATATCCAACGCGTAAAAATCCAACGCGTAGATATCCAACGCGTGTAAATTCGACGAGTGGAAATCTAACGCGTAGAAATACAATGCGTAGAAGTGCAATGCGTGGAAATTCAACGCGTGGGAATCTAACGCATGGAAATCCAACACGTAGAAATTCAACGCGTCGATATCCAACGCGTCGAAATCCAACGCATCGATATCCAACGCGTAGAAATTCAACGCGTAGATATACAACGCATCGATATCCAACGCGTAGAAATCCAACGCGTCGATATCCAACGCGTAGAAATTCAACGCGTAGATATCCAACGCGTCGATATCCAACGCATGGAAATCCAACGCGTAGAAATCCAACGCGTCGATATCCAACGCGTAGAAATTCAACGCGTAGATATACAACGCATCGATCGAGTGGAAATCTAACGCGTAGAAATACAATGCGTAGAAGTGCAATGCGTGGAAATTCAACGCGTGGGAATCTAACGCATGGAAATCCAACACGTAGAAATTCAACGCGTCGATATCCAACGCGTAGAAATCCAACGCGTCGATATCCAACGCGTAGAAATACAACGCCTCGATATCCAACGCGTAGAAATCCAACGCGCCAATATCCAATGCGTCGATATCTAACGCGTCAATATCCAACGCTCCAATATCTAACGCGCCAATATCCAACGCGCCGATATCCAATGCGCCAAAATCCAACTTGCCGATATCTAACGCATCAATATCAACGCGTGGCAATATAATGCCCCGATATTCCAACCAACGACCTACAATGTATCGATGTTTAACATGACGATGCACACTCGGTATAAAACTCCTCGCTGTTAGTTGTTTCAGTAACACTTTTTTCCCCCAAGTACGACAATAATGACGAAGAAGTTGCACGGTGTCTTACTTCTGTGTTCACGCCTGAGCTGTATTCTATACAGTACCCTAGTCTACACGGTAATCAAAGCGTTGCAATTAACAAAAAAGTTACTATACAATCGTTGGTTCGTTATGCACGTGCGCAGACACGACAAGTGCAACCGATTTTCCGACGACTTTGAATTTAATCGACAATGGGATACGTCCAGATGTAATCGAACACGTGTTGCTTTTGTCTTGAACCGTTTCCTAATTATAGCGGAACTATAATTATCATATTGATACTATAGTTAAGTATAATTAATCGAACATCGGTTTTTCTAGAACGATACGACATTTTTCATTAAATACGTATAACATTAATGTACATAATTTACTGTCAACATTAACACGAGATGGAATAATCGACGAGATATAACGTTCAACATTTTTTTCCCCTCATTTGCAAAACTGACTGCGAAATAAAAATAAGGCAATCTGAAAATACGACACGATTGGACGTAGAAATTTTCCATGTTTTCCCCTGTTCGTTTTTTCGCACCATGTCGAGTTCGTGTTTGAAATTAAAACGCCTCGTCAGATCGCACCTGCGTTTCATCAACTTTTCTCTACCCGACGTTTCTGGACCGATTTTTTCCGAACTTGTTTTGCGACATAAATTCGATACGTGCGAAAAGTCCTGGATTATTAATAAGTAAAATTATTACCATTTACTTATGGCTATCTTTACCTTCATCAATGTTCCTTTACTGTTTCTATCAAATCATCTAACACAACATTTTAATAACTCATGTCAATCACATAAGTCACAAATCTTCATATGTAGAAATTTATATATGATCACATGTACAAATTTTCATTTAATCATTGAAATAAATCATATCGCTAATAGTGAGAGATTTGTACAAGAAGAAACGTAAAACGAGTTTCAAATGTTAAGTTGGAACCACTGCTCAGTATACCCGATCGATTATGACCACCCTTAGGAAGGGTTAAAATTATTCGAGATGAACGAAGCACACATGCTCGCATGCGAGCTGCCGTATTCACCGATGCTCTTTCTTTTCGAAGCAGGGAGACGAGGTTTGGCGATGCTCCTGTCATGTGCAGGATGCGAGAAACCAATTATGGATCAGTACCTGCTGAATGTTTTGGACCGAGCATGGCACGTCGAGTGCGTCCGCTGTTTCGACTGCAGAACCACGTTACAGGACAAGTGTTTCTCCAGGGAGGCGAAGCTCTTCTGCAGGGAGGACTTCTTCAGGTACTTGTGATATTTCATTCTTCTATTTTTACTGATCAACACACAAATTACCATATAGAAAATTAAAAATAAATTTCTGCAAATTATCTATCTGACTGAAAGTCACTTAGGATAGAATTAAAAATATATTTAACGAAAACAGCGAAATGATATGCAATTTAAGGAATCTAGATTTAAGGATTAGGTTGAAGGGCTGAACGCTGCAATTTAAATCACTGTGTATGTTTATGAAAAAGCAAACGTGTAATGAATTAACCTTCGGTTGTACCTCCACGCCGAAATCCAATGCATCGATATCCAACGCGTCGATATTCAGCGCGTTGAAATCCAACGCGTCGATATTCAACGTGTCGATATCCAACGCGTAGATATCCAACGCGTCGATATTTAACGCGTCGATGTCCAACGCGTCGATATCCCACGCGTCGATATCCCACGCGTCGTTATCCAATGCGTCGATATTCTACGCGTCGATATCCCACGCGTCGATATCCCACGCGTCGATATCCCACGCGTCGATATCCCACGCGTCGATATCCCACGCGTCGATATCCCACGCGTCGATATCCCACGCGTCGATATCCCACGCGTCGATATCCCACGCGTCGATATCCCACGCGTCGATATCCCACGCGTCGATATCCCACGCGTCGATATCCCACGCGTCGATATCCCACGCGTCGATATCCCACGCGTCGATATCCCACGCGTCGATATCCCACGCGTCGATATCCCACGCGTCGATATCCCACGCGTCGATATCCCACGCGTCGATATCCCACGCGTCGATATCCCACGCGTCGATATCCCACGCGTCGATATCCCACGCGTCGATATCCCACGCGTCGATATCCCACGCGTCGATATCCCACGCGTCGATATCCCACGCGTCGATATCCCACGCGTCGATATCCCACGCGTCGATATCCCACGCGTCGATATCCCACGCGTCGATATCCCACGCGTCGATATCCCACGCGTCGATATCCCACGCGTCGATATCCCACGCGTCGATATCCCACGCGTCGATATCCCACGCGTCGATATCCCACGCGTAGATATCCAACGCGTAGATATCCAACGCGTCGATATTCCACGCGTCGATATCCCACGCGTAGATATCCAACGCGTCGATATCCAACGCGTCGATATTCCACGCGTCGATATCCCACGCGTAGATATCCAACGCGTCGATATCCAACGCGTCGATATTCCACGCGTCGATATCCCACGCGTAGATATCCAACGCGTCGATATCCAACGCGTCGATATTCCACGCGTCGATATCCCACGCGTAGATATCCAACGCGTCGATATCCAACGCGTCGATATTCCACGCGTCGATATCCCACGCGTAGATATCCAACGCGTCGATATCCAACGCGTCGATATTCCACGCGTCGATATCCCACGCGTAGATATCCAATGCGTCGATATTCCACGCGTAGATATCCAACGCGTCGATATCCAACGCGTCGATATTCCACGCGTCGATATCCCACGCGTCGATATCTAACGCGCCGAAATCTAACACGCCGAAATCCAGCGCATCGATATCTAACGCCTGTAAATTCGACGAGTGGAAGTCTAATGCGTAGAAATACAATGCGTGGAAGTGCAATGCGTGGAAATTCAACGCGTGAAAATCCAACGCATGGAAATCCAACGCGCTAATATCCAATGCGTTGATATCCAACGCGCCGATATCCAACGCGTCAATATCCAAGGTGCCTATACATAATATACACAACGCTTGAGTCATCGGTTTCTACTCCAACTCCTCCGATAATTGTCCGATTAACAAATAAAATCCATACATATCGATGGCAGATCGTTTCGTTTGTTTTCTAATAAAATAAAACCAACAAGGAATAAACGCAACGTCAAACTGTTTCCCGTTTGCATAATTAGATAAACAGTCGTGGCACAACCAGTTTCGCTCGTCAACACGTAAGGAAATCGAAAGATTTATGATCGATGAATTAGCAGACAATCGGCGCGACATTTGTCGGTCGATATCTGTGCCCTCTGTTTCTTTCTGCACGCGTCAAAGGATAGTTGTTCGAGCGACAAAAAAAGCATTTCGCGAATGGAAGGGAGGCCTTGACATTTTCCGAGACAAGCCCAACACGATTTTACTTTCGAGCAGAGATCACCTGATTAGATCGATCATGAACGGCGTTACAATTGATTTTAGGGAAATTAGCATACTTCAAAATTCTTAACATATTTTTCTATGTTCTTTTGTTTCATCTTCATGTTATATCTTTTATTTCTTCTTTATACGACATATCGAATTTTATTTTGTTTTTTCTTTGAGCAATATATTTCATTTCAGACAATATACCAAGTCCTTATTTTAAGAAATATATCAAAATTGATGTAGACCCTACAACTTTACACAGGATCAGAGCTAAAAAAACTTCGAATCGCGAATATCTCGTTGCACGTCAGTTATACGACAAAAACACCCATTACGTAATTTATAGCTTAACAAATTCTCTACAAAAAAGGTTTTACGAGTTTTTTTCATAAAAGTAACCATTTTCCTGCATTTATACATAACGACCTAATATCCTCGATTGTAAATTCGCACGATATTATCTCACAAATGGTTACTTCTACAAAAACATCTTATAGAACGTTTTTTGTAGAGAATTTTCTGAGCTACAAATTTCGTAATCACGTTTCTTGTCGTAGAATTGATAGTTAACGAGATATTTGCGAAGAATATCCTCTGTGCAAGCTTCATCTTTGATGTACGGAATATAGCTTCGCAAAAAAATTCTATAGATTGCAGAGATTTTGGGTGATTTCGAGGATAATGTAGAGTAATAGAAAAATGAAAATGCCTCTCTGCCCTTAAGCATCAGGTTTTAGCATAAATCACGCAAGAAACGGGACTTTAATTAATGGAGCAACTTCGCGAAAAGAAAAAAGGACATGGAAGAAAAACGCTGCACGGTGTGCTCGTGAAGATCACAGGACCACCGGTCGCGAACGGGTACCTTCGAAGAATCTTGTAGTTCGTTCGAAACGGAAAAAAAAACGTGGATAAAACAGTAGACGGAACTAATCTCGAAACGATCGAGTACGCTTCTTGCGGGTCGAAAAGCGAAATAAAAAGCGGGATCTTTAGAGGAGTGGAAGAACGTCAGTCACGTCGTAAAGCGTTGTTGCGAACGTTGATTTACGGACTTCGTATCGAATATTTATAGTGTAGCGAAAATTGATGGTCCCAGGTCGAGTCGGAGTGGCTAGGCAGCGTGCGGTCGTTGCGAATAAATCGCGTGATAAAAAAAAAGGAAACGCGTGACCAGAGTTTTCAAAGTGTCCGGTGTTATCAACGACTTTAAGAACCGTCCCGGTGGATCGTTTTCGTGGAAACTTTCAACAAACTTTTCATCCGCTCCTGATAACCCGATGGACCTTGACATTTGCGCGGGAAAATATGAAATACTTTCATGCTCTACCAATTGCTTCGATGATACAATTTTTGGTTCGAAATTTTTTCGAATTTAGGTTACTTAGATGCTCTACAAGTTCCTTCATCTGCAATGACACAATTTTTAGTTCGAATTTCTTTCGAATTTAGGTTACTTATACTTCCATGATCTATCAATTCCTTCATCTGTACTGATACAATTTTTAATTCGAATTTCTTTCGAATTTAGGTTACTCACACTTCCATGCTCTATCAATTCCTTCATCTACAGTGATACAATTTTTAATTCGAATTTCTTCCGAATTTGGGTTACTTAGACTTCGATGCTCTACTAATTGCTTCGTTTCCAATGACACAATTTTTAGTTCGAATTTCTTTCAAATTTAGATTACTTATACTTTCATACTCTACCAACTGCTTCATTTCCAATGACACAATTTGTAATTTGAATTTCTTTCGAATTTAGGTTGTTTATACTTCCATACTCTACCAACTGCTTCATCTCCAATGACACAATTTTTAGTTCGAATTTCTTTCGAATTTAGATTACTTATACTTCAATACTCTACCAACTGCTTCATCTCCAGTGATACAATTTTTAATTCGAATTTCTTTCGAATTTAGGTTACTTATACATACTTCCATGCTCCACCAATTGTTTCGTCTCCAATGACACAATTTTTAGTTCGAATTTCTTTCAAATTTAGATTACTTATACTTCCATGCTCTACCAATTTCTTCATCTCCAATGACACAATTTGTAATTTGAATTTCTTTCGAATTTAGGTTACTTATACCTCCATGCTCTACCAACTGTTTCATCTCCAGTGATACAATTTTTAGTTCAAATTTTTTTCGAGCTTAGGTTACTTATACTTTGATGCTCTACAATTTGCTTCATCTCCAATGCACCTCCATTGCTCCATTGATACAATTTTTAGTTCGAATTTCTTTCGAAATCAGGTTACTTCGATGCTCTACAATTTGCTTCATCTCCAATGCACCTCCATTGCTCCATTGATACAATTTTTACTTTGAATTTCTTCCGAATTCAGGTTACTTCGATGCTCTACAATTTGCTTCAATGATACAATTTTTAGTTCGAATTTCTTTCGAATTTACGTTCTCTGCTTGCTCAATATTTGCAACTACGAACTCTTCGAATTATCATAGTTCCAGGTATTTAAAGCGACTAGAATTTTGAATGGAAGTGTTTTAAATGTTTCGCTGCGCGATTTTTGTGGCAGCTTGACAAAAAGAAATCGCGCCAGAAAAACTAGCGGGGAGTTAAGTTAATTAGGAGTTGAGTGACAGGGCGTTGTCGTGTCTTTAGCTGTTCTTTTTCCGTTCCTCTTTTTATTAATTAACACGTAACGAACCGAGGAATACGCACGCAGAAAATCATGGTCGCAATAAATGTCGGACAATGAGGTCTGGTTTGATTATTGATTATTGATATTAATCGAGTTTGTGTGTTGACAAATTAATCTGTGATCGATGAAGAAGTTTTTGAAACTTATAATAATTCAATAATATCTACGTACAATATTTTGTT